TCTGTTTTCCATCTTTATAAGATTCTTCAAACAATCAAACTAAAGAATTAATTGGTCAACTGCTATTTACCATGCTCCTATTCTAAACAAAGGACCAAACATGTCCCCATAAAAGAATGCATACTAGTGAGTGAGTAATACAGGTTGTCTTTATTTCAACTCAATTTTAAATTTTTTTGCTATTTTATTTACTTATTTTTAGGCAGGGTCTCATTATGACATGATCCTCTTGCCTCAGCCTACTAAGTAGTTGGGACACAGGCAGGCATACCAGCAATGCCAGCTTTTAGACTGGGCCAGAAACCAAACTTGGGTCTTTTTGGCCTCAGCCTGCCAAACAGCATCAGTCAATGTGTGCTACTGAAGTTGAGCCTCAATTTACTTTTAAAACCAAACGTAAAAAATATGAGGTACAGAGCATCCTCATAAGTGCAGGGGTCAAGCCCTGCACATGTTGAACTTTATACAGATGGCTTTCTGCAGTTTGAATTTGGGGTCCAACAGCTTAAAAATGTACTATATTTATGTGTGCCTCAAATCCTCATGGGATAGAACAATAGAGGAAAACGTATTCTAAAATAATCTCGCCCCATTGAGGGTTGCACTCAATCGCTCTTTCTCGTGAGCACACGTACCCTCTGGGGGGGAGGGGGGACGTCAGGCACTCCAGACATCATAAATGAAAGAGAAAAGATAAGTAAGAGGTAGTGAAAAAACGGCAAAAATTTACAAAGGAATAGCATATAGATTATACAAGGAACTCCTACAAACTATAAGGAAAGACAATATGATAGAAAAATAAATAACATCAGCAAGATATTCCAAGAAGACATAAAAATAATCAGTAAATATAAAAAACTGCTTTAATCTCATTTAATAAATAATCAGGAAACATGAAGTAAAAATATTCAGCAAGTGAAAAAGAGAAAACAATAATAAGTACTGGTGATGATTCAAAAAAAGAATCCTTAATTATATTATTCAGAAAAAGGTAAATTCACATGTTTTTTAGAAGGGTGATTTGGCAGTAACTACCAAGATTAGAAGTGCTTTTTTATTTTGCAACTCAAATTCCAGGACAATTTTTTTTTATAGAAAAAGAAATAATCATTGGGACTAGCAGTTAGTGTAATGGCTATGTCACTGAACTCCCATGTAGTCGACCGCGGTTTGAGTCCCAGACCCAGCGGCTTAAACTCACGTTGGGCACATGTGCGTGTGTGCCCAAGATCCTAAGAGGAGAATGGAGGAGAAGGGATTGTGGTGTGGCCATCCCCTCGGGGGGGGACTTCTCTCTTTCTATCTCTCTGTCTCTCTCTTTCTGGCGAGTGCATGCGCCCTATAGCAAAAGCCTCTCAAAAAAAAAAATTAAAAAAAAAATAAAGAATCATTAATTTTAATAACAAACGTTAACCTTCATAAAGAGTTTATGTTCACAAGATGACTTACAAATATTCACTCCATTGATTTTAAAGTAGAACAATGTAATACTATTATTGTCCCTGTAATAGGCAGAATAATAGCCCCTCAAATATGTCCATGAACTAATTCCTGAAATTTGAATATGTTATCTTATGAAGCAAAGGGTCTTGCCAATGTAAATAAGACTTCTGAGACAGGTAGGCTATTCTGGATTATTCAGGCAGGCACAGCATAATCACGGGGTCCTTAGAAGAGAGAAGCAGGGGAACGAGCAGTTAGCGTAATGGCTATGTCGCTGGACTCCCACGTAGTCGACTGCAGTTCACGTCCTGGACCCGGTGGCTTAAAACTCATGCCGGGCGTGTGTGCATGCTTGCCCAAGATCCCGAAAGGAGAATGGAGGAGAAGGGATTGCGGCATGACCATCCCCCAGGGGGGTGATTTCTCGCTTTCTGTCTCTATGTCACTATGTCTCTCTGTCTGTCTGGCGAGCGCAGGCGCCCTATAGCGAAAACCTCTCTAAATAAAATAAAATAAAATAGAAGAGAAAAGCAGGAAGTCAGAGGAGATGTGATGCCAAAAGCAGAAGTGAGAGGGATGCTAGACCAGGAGTCAAGGGATGTTGAAAGCTTCTTGAAGCTGGAAAAAACAAGGAAATAAATTTTTCTGTAGAGCTCCTAGAAGGAATTCAGCCTTGCTGAGCCGTTTTGGATTTCTGACTTCCAGAATGATAAGATAACAAATTTGTGTTGTTTTAAGCCACTAAACTTGTAATAATTTGTTATAGCAGCAATAGGACAACTAATACAGTCCCTTTTTATAAGAAAACTGAGGTACACAAAACTAAGCAACAAATCATACAGCTATTAAGGGGTAGAGCTAGGATTTAAACACAGGCCATTATCATAACCGTTATGATACAATAACTGCCTTTAATACATATGTAAAGATGAATGCAGAATTTTAAAAGATCTTGGAGGGAGAACCTATCCTTCATTAAGAAAATGGTTAAAAGGAAATATCAAACCATGAACTAAGAAAAACTACACAAGAATTTCAAAATAATACAATATAAAAAAATGTCTGCAATATATGATAAAAGTTTTCATAAAAATGTTTTTAAAACGTTCATCTAAATGTGCATGAATTATATTAAATAGAAAGAAACAGGACTGAAGGAAGTCCAACAAACTGTTAAAAGTGGTCATTTGTGGAGAATGAAGTAGGGAAGGGGGATACATGCGACTTCTACATTGTATTCAACATTGTTGTGTTATTTATACGTTCTACAACAAGAAGTTATGGTATATTTTAAAATGAGGCATTTTTAACATAGAGAGAAATGAATGAACTTCTTAAAACACTTTTTCATTAAAGAAAAAAAAAAAAAAAAAAGACATCACTTCTGCACAAAGTTTAAAAGCCCTGCCCTACAGTGACACCAAATGGTGGCAGATCAAAATACAGTACAAAAAAGGACATCAGTTCAATTCAATCTTCCATGAATGTTTGATTCCTTTAAAGAACAGGCAGCTTAACAGAATTAAATAATATGGAGACAAATATTCAAAAACCTAGGATTTTTAATCAATGAAAGACTAGTACACCAAGCTTCAAATGCAAATTTTTAGGCCTTTTTCAAAACTTCAGCTAATCTTCTGATCCCATTGAATATTTACATAAAACCATTTCTCACACTGTTATACCAATCCACTGTGAGCGCAGTGATTTTACCTAATGGCTTATTGGTCAAAGAAACTTTGAAAATATAAGAAATACAGTCATACAACTAAATCTAGGTTTTAGTCCATGGGAATCAAGCATTGGTGACAGGGAAATATTTGGGGAGTCATGAGTGAAAAGGTGTTGAGGATGAAAAAGGAAGGAAGGAGTCAAGAAAAGAGGCAACTGATTGAATTAGTCAATTAATGACAGCTTCAAGAAGTATATATTCATTTGAAATCGATTGATAGAAAGTTAAGTTGAATAAAACAGCAGGGTTATTGGCCCAGCCACAGTAGCACAGGCAATGGGATGCTGCTCTATAATGTTAGAGGCCACTTAGATCAGAGTTTGAATCCCAGGTCAACTGAGTGCTCTGGTACATGTGTGCACGCCTGTGACCCTGTGTGGCTAGAATGAATAGGGGGCGGGTCACAGCATGATGAGACCCAACTGAGCTTGCCTGTCTGTCTCTGTTGCTCTCCTTCTCTCTCATGAAGGAAATAAATTTATAGAACTAATGAAAATATGAGGCTTCTGAGTCCTAATTCAACCATTTTCTCATCAAGAAATTTCTGTGCTGGACTATATGGGAAAAAGAATATTTCAAAGTAAGCATGTCAGTCAGTATTCAGTGTCCTTTGTCCAGAACCTAGGCCAATAAATAAAAAAAAATCATGTGAATTGTCTTATGCATTACAAATTATTATTAAAAAAGGCTAGTGATGGACCACTTCCTTAGAAACCACTCTAAAGTACCATTCATCATAGGTACAATAAAGAAATGATTTTTTTTTTTTTTGGAGAGATTTTCACTGTAGGGCGCGTGCGCTCGCCAGACAGACAGAGAGAGACATAGAGACAGAAAGCGAGAAATCACCCCCCAGGGGGGATGGTCACGCCGCAATCCCTTCTCCTCCATTCTCCTCTCGGGATCTTGGGCACGCACGCACACGCTCCCGGCGTGAGTTTTAAGCCACCGGGTCCAGGATGCGAACCGCGGTCGACTACATGGGAGTCCAGCGACATAGCCATTATGCTAACTGTTGGTTTCCTTCACTTGATATTTTAATATTAAATCGAGAACAAAAAATTATGTATACACTTTCCATGAGTTCTATGCACTTCCTTTAAAGGTAGTTCAATATATATTTTATTATTATTATTATTATTATTATTGTTAGTTTTTGTTATAGAGCATGTGTGTTTACCAGAGAAAGAGAGAGAAAAAGAGAGAGATGGAGAGAGAGACATCAACTGCACAGGGTGTTGGCCATGCTTCAACCCCTACTCCTCCACTCTGCTATCAGGATTTGAGAATGCTCACACACATGTATGTTTGTTAAACCATTCTATTTTTGGACTTGGAACTGCACAGCCAGTCATGTGAGATCCAGCCACCTTAACCACAACGCCACCAGCTGGCCCTCAATATACACTTTAAATCAAAGTAATTTCTCCCAAGTATCTTTAGGTTTTAAATAAAAATTTAAAAGAAAAAGGCAAGATGAACAGTGAATGTATGTGACAGTGATATGAAAAAAAACTTGACAATTTCCTTCTCCTGTTATATACAGTATAAAAATCCCTTCAAAAAAAGAGTTAATGGGGCCAGCAGGTGGCGTAGTGGTTAAGTGTGCTGGACTCCCATATGGCCAACTGCAGTTCGGGTCCTAGACCAGGCAGCCTACTTTCTCACTTTCTCTCTCTCGCTCGCTCTCTCTCACTCTCTCGCTCTGTCTCTCTCTGGTCAAACTGAAATAAATAAATACATAGATAAATAAAGGTAAATAAAATAATCCTTAAAACAGAGGGGAAAAAAAAAAAAAGAGTCAACACGGAGACTCGGTACTTACCACGACAGCAAACTGTTCAGGCTCACATAGGTTGTTATAGTCATTCTTGAACTGAGACAATGAATTTAATTGCTCTTGATCAGGGAGATGCTTTATTAAGTTCTGAAAATTAAATTAAAAAGATTTTTCAGAAAATGAGGTTCTCAAATTTTAGGAAAATTAATTTATTAGTAAATACAGAAATCAATCCATGAAGAAGTTAATCTTCAGTTTTATTTCTCAATAATCTCCCTTGTAAGAAGCTGTCATCTACATTACCTGCATCTTGAAAATAGTCAATTTTCCTTTTCTCTATCCTGGAGTTATTATATATTCAAATCAAGCACCACTGAATGGTTATTTGATTAGCTGTATAATTGAGAAAGAAGAGCTCAACCTATACCAAAGGAACAGCTTTCTCACCTGGATAAACGTGATCCATTACATTTCAGCTTTAGGGAATTAAATGTCAGAAATTTCAGGCAAAGCCACACATATTTTAACACTTTACTCAGGGGGATAGAAGAAATCATCAAATTGCTACTAAGAGGCAAGAGAAAGAATAGAAAAGAAATCGAGGGAATTTTAATGGCAATGCTTCCAAGATTTAAACAATAGGATTACAGCTTTAATAATAAAAACTGAAGATACCTATAAAACAAAGACGAAGTAACTTTCTGATGTGAAAGAAAATTTTTAAAAGGCACTGAGGACACAGGATGATATAGCCTGCAGATAAAAAGCATATAAAGAGATCCTTTAGGAACTCAAGTGCCCATGGCTGTAAAGGCCCTTTGCTTGTATCATCAGCAGTTGAGAAACCACAGGGTCATTCAGCTGCTCTGGCTCCTTTGTCCATACACAGCCTTCTCGAGCCAAACGCTTAGACAAGAGAACCACTTGAAGAAAAATCAAGGGAATACATACAGTTATGCTTTCCTGATAAAACTTAAATGATTAAACTATCCCTTAACAAAATCTATACAAATCCTCTGTATCAAAATATAATCTACTACAGTAGTGGTACATAAAGTTAGTGTATATTCATATTAAAATTAAGGAATAAAAGAGTGGCTGGTGATCACAATTCCAAAATATAACGTCAGTAAATTCTGTACAAGCCCAATGTCAAGTACAAATTGCAGTTATGTGTACATCATGCTACATATACTCATGAGGGGGAAGAAAATCCCCTTAAGGTGTTATTAGTTAAAAATATTGTTAGAGAATGTTACAGATCAAAAGTAGCCATATCGAATAACAAGTTACTGACTCACTGTGTATCTTTGGACAAAAACTTGGTTAACTGGCCAGAAACAAAACAAAACAAAAAGGTAGCAATTTAAGACCATCCCCAGAAAAAGTATTCCCTATTAATCAAGCTAAATAAGAATAATAAAGGTAGAGGATTTCCCCAAATACATAGAAACATCTGTTGGGAAAGTATCTAATATGAAAAGACGTGGTTATTCAGATTTTCTTTTAAGTCTTCTAGTTGACAGCTGGATTGTCTGAGTTATTTATCACATCAGGCCTCTGAATTTCGTTAGCATCCTTTTATATGATCATCAAACCACCTTGAATATATGTAGTTCATATTTAATTATATTTTAATATTTCATCAGAAATTTATTAATTTTTTACTTTCTTATTTTTGCTTTCTAATGTAAAAAAGAAAGCATGAATTCTCAGAGTACATACCCAACATTCCGTTGTCTGTCCCTTCACCAAATTTCCTATACCCTTTACAAAGCTCAAGCTCCTGGTAAACTAAACTCTGCACAGCTGACACACATACCCTGCTATTCCTTCACGGCTCCCAGTATCATTACTGTCAGAATGACTGCCCTTTCCTACATTTACCTTACTCAACCTTTAGGTACCCTTGCCTCCATACATTCGCACACACAGCCCTCCCTCAACACATCCTCTACTTCTAAGCCAATCTTAACACAAACCGCTATGATTATCTTGTATTATAATTGCAATAAGATGAAGTCTATTTCTGATTGACTCTAATACACTACCTTATACAGGGTAGATACAATAAAAATACCTGCAAAGTACATTCATAAATAAAAGACTGCAACAAGATAAATGGAAACGAATGACATGGAGGCTCAGCTGCTATGGCTCAGAGGGGTGCTCCTGCACAATGCTAGAAGGTTTTGAGCGCGTGACTCAGTTCTGTTGGAACGCGCACAGCACCCCACTGGCAAGTTTGTGATCCTAGCTAGTTGCAGGGCTGGGAGAAGGATCATATCATAACTCTACTGAGGGTGCCTACCTGCCTGCTTCCCACCCTCTCACCCTGTCCCTCTTTCTCTCTAACGAAGGAAATAAAAAATTATAACTAATGTGCAAAAAAAAAACTCATGCAAAATGACATGTTTCTCACTTCTTATTATCTATATATAACTAGATATGCCAAAATAAAATGACAGTAAACAAAGTCTACCAAAACAGTGATTATTACACAGTTATGCTGTTTCTATGCACTACTCAAAGCAGGCACTACTTTGCATTAAAATTAGGAATGTATTTTAAAATTAAAAATAAGAGTTCTAATGGCATTAATTTTTTATGTCCTAAATAACATATAAAAATGCTGTGTATATCCAAAATAAAACTGTTTTTTTTTTGGGGGGGGAGGGGGTTGCTGTAGGGCACATGCACTCGCCAGAAAGACAGAGAGAGGCAGAGAGCTAGAAAGCGAGAAATCATGCCCCCGTGGGGGATAGCCATGCCACAATCCCTTCTCTTCCATTCTCCTCTCAGGATCTTGGGCACGCACGCACACGCGCCTAGAATGAGTTTAAGCCACCGGGCCTGGGACTTGAACTATGGTCGACTACATGGGAGTCCAGCGACATAGCCATTATGCCAACTGCTGGTCCCAAATTTGGGGTTTTCAAATTCATTAGAGCAATTTATATTTCTTAAGTATGGTAGGCAGAATAATTTCACACCAAAGATGTCCATGTCTAATCCCCAGAAGTTATAAAAATAATAGGTTATATGAAAAAGGGAATTAATGTCATAGAGAGAATTGAGGTTGTTATCAGCTGACTTTAAATTAACGTGATATCGGGGACTATCTGGACTATCTAGGTTTTACAATGTAACCAGAAAAGTCTTTACAAGTGGAAGAGAGAGAAAACAATAGGGTAAGGAGATGGTGTGACTATGAAAGGAAGGACCTCATAGATGCAACATTGATGGCTTGGAAGACGAAGGAAGGTTTCCATTAGCCAAGGGAAGTGGGCAGCCATGAGAAGCTGGAAAAGACAAAAAAAATGGATCTTTCCACAGAGCCAACAGGAAGGAACACACATCTGCCAACGATGTGACTTTGGTCAAAGTAACGCCCATGCAAGACTTCTGTTCCACAGCAATGTAAGATTGGTCATTTTAAGCCCCTAAGTTTGTGGTGAATTGTTATAGCAGTGATAGAAAACTAATACATAAAAATTATACAGAGTTGAATGTACTTCAAACATGAATTTTAAAATGCAAATCATCTTTTCTATATCTCTAGACATCAAAAGCCACGTGATCTTCCAAAACATTTATGTAATCATGTTAAAAGTTATTCTGTAAATATTTAGCAAATTCATTATAAGAAATATAAACATGTATAAAGTAGAATAATTTTCTTTAAGTAACATGGAATATACTCACAGCAAGAAGCCACCTATAAGATCAACAATAAAGAAAAAAATCCACTAAAAATAAACTCCTAGAGAAAAAAAAAATGCTTAAATAAGAGCTGTTGAATTAGGTAGTTTATGAGTCTCAAAGACTCACAGCAGAAATCACTAATGAGATTTATATTACTACCACTTTTAGAAGACAAAAAATGAGAGGGAAGATTAAGAACAATTTTTAATGATACCACTTTATTGAAGAGTTAAAATGTCCAGAACAATTTTAATTACTTATGATCACTAACAAATAATATGGTTCTTACTTATTGGTAAAAAAAAAAAAAAGATAATTTTCTCTATATATCCATTATAAAATGAAAGACAGTAAACTAAAGATATCCACTCACTATTTTTGTATTGATTCTCCAGCTGTAAATTCTACCACAATATATTCTATTCATCCCTTATGTGGAATTCAGCAAGTAACTTTGGCACCACACTACCATTCATTAAGTAATACCATGGGTAAAAATCATATAAAAAAATCTTCTAAGACTTATGAATGAATTTAGAATACTATGCAATCTCTGTTACTCATAGGAGCACAAATGACACAACTAAGGGTTGTTAGTAAAGATAACTCTAAAGGAAAAGGAAACGCCATCATTTTCCTGTAACAAATAATTACAATTCTATAAGCCTAAGAAAAACACATTATAAAAGAGCAATAGAAACAAATTTAAATGAATATATCACTCACCTTAACTGTAACAAAAAATATATGAAAAATTAAATAATTTGTATTTCAGAAATAGTCATTTAAAATAATTGAAATGTAATCATTTTGATAGCATTATATTTAGTTTCCAGTGAAGAGAAGATGCAGAGTTTTATCTCCTGGCAATGCAGAAGTCATGCTAAAACTAATTATTCAGCAATGATTTTCCAGTTGAATGATTTGGGTTAAGAATTTTGCTTCACTTTCAGATTTCTATTTAATGAGAAGCTTGCAATGAAATATTGGAATTTAAGCTCTGCCTGTTTGTTTACCTGAATCATAGTCTCCGCCAACTGGGTTTCATCCACTTCCAATATCATCATTTTGATTTCCTCATATGGCACACGAAATGAGCTCAGGAAGATTGCTGAGAGAAAGAGAAAGAAGTTCACAATGAGTTAGATAAGAAAAAAATTTGAGATGTAGTTCTATTTATAAAATCAAAAATAAATTCATAATTCCAGAATTTAAACATGTACTATAATTATGATATTATGGGGGAAATGTTGGCTAACAAATTTTATGATCTTCTCTAGTTTTAGAACTTGTATCGAAATATCAACAATGTTTTATTATGCTGGCTGGCTCCAAAGTTGGTTGTTGAATAGTTACATATTTGCTTATCATAGGAAATGTATCAACTTTTATGTGATAAAAAAACTGAAATATATTAGGTACATTATAAGAGCACCATATCGTAATAAAGAGAATGATAAAACTCAAGAGTTGCATGTAATATTTGCATAGACATATGTGTTACTGACTTGTAATACTATCTTCCTTCTCTACTGAATGGTTCAGAAAAACATATTTCTCGAAAACAAGTAATACATTAATGCTTTTATAATTTACGGTAAGCACTTCTATTCAAAAATATTGTAGTCAGCATGCTAGAAAAATAATCACTGCAAATCAGTAACACCTAAAATATCCGAATTTTTAAAAAAAGTTTTCCTGGAAAATTATCCAGATAGCCAGGACAGTATTTTATTTCTGAGAATTCCAAAGATCATTTTTACTTTTCCTGATACCTCAGCTATTTAGTATTATAAAATAATTACATTCTCAAAAGCTATTGAGGTATGTAAGAATATTTTCACAGTATTAGACATAATGCTTTTATTGTTTCTATTTTTGTTCTACAATTATAATTTTCTGTATTCAAAAAGATATCACCTCTTGAACATACTCACCACTTGATACCGATTCTCCATTAACATTTTTAATTCACTAAACTTCTATGTCATTTGCTGTATAGTTTCATATAAAAACATTGTTTTTCATAACACTCAGATAAAATGATCTACTTCTTTCTTAAACTTAGACTGTATTCCTGAAAATATTTGATCTAACAATGGTCCCCAACCTTTTTGGCACCAGTGATGAGTTTCATAGAAGACAATTTTTCCAGACAGAGGGGTGGGGGAAAGTTTTGGGATGATTCAAGTATATTACATTTATAGTATACTTTATTTCTATTATTATTACATTGTAATATATAAGAAATAATTATTTGATTTCCTCATATGGCACACGAAATGAGCTCAGGAAGATTGCTGAGAGAAAGAGAAAGAAGTTCACAATGAGTTAGATAAGAAAAAAATTTGAGATGTAGTTCTATTTATAAAATCAAAAATAAATTCATAATTCCAGAATTTAAACATGTACTATAATTATGATATTATGGGGGAAATGTTGGCTAACAAATTTTATGATCTTCTCTAGTTTTAGAACTTGTATCGAAATATCAACAATGTTTTATTATGCTGGCTGGCTCCAAAGTTGGTTGTTGAATAGTTACATATTTGCTTATCATAGGAAATGTATCAACTTTTATGTGATAAAAAAACTGAAATATATTAGGTACATTATAAGAGCACCATATCGTAATAAAGAGAATGATAAAACTCAAGAGTTGCATGTAATATTTGCATAGACATATGTGTTACTGACTTGTAATACTATCTTCCTTCTCTACTGAATGGTTCAGAAAAACATATTTCTCGAAAACAAGTAATACATTAATGCTTTTATAATTTACGGTAAGCACTTCTATTCAAAAATATTGTAGTCAGCATGCTAGAAAAATAATCACTGCAAATCAGTAACACCTAAAATATCCGAATTTTTAAAAAAAGTTTTCCTGGAAAATTATCCAGATAGCCAGGACAGTATTTTATTTCTGAGAATTCCAAAGATCATTTTTACTTTTCCTGATACCTCAGCTATTTAGTATTATAAAATAATTACATTCTCAAAAGCTATTGAGGTATGTAAGAATATTTTCACAGTATTAGACATAATGCTTTTATTGTTTCTATTTTTGTTCTACAATTATAATTTTCTGTATTCAAAAAGATATCACCTCTTGAACATACTCACCACTTGATACCGATTCTCCATTAACATTTTTAATTCACTAAACTTCTATGTCATTTGCTGTATAGTTTCATATAAAAACATTGTTTTTCATAACACTCAGATAAAATGATCTACTTCTTTCTTAAACTTAGACTGTATTCCTGAAAATATTTGATCTAACAATGGTCCCCAACCTTTTTGGCACCAGTGATGAGTTTCATAGAAGACAATTTTTCCAGACAGAGGGGTGGGGGAAAGTTTTGGGATGATTCAAGTATATTACATTTATAGTATACTTTATTTCTATTATTATTACATTGTAATATATAAGAAATAATTATACAATTCACCATAATGCAGTATTTGCAGCCTTTCCCCAGTGCTAACATCACTACCTCAGTTCGACCTCAGATCATTAGGCATTAAGATCACACAAGGAGCGTACAACCTAGATCCCTCACATGTCATTTCCAACTCCTATGAGAATCCAATGCCACTGGTCTGACAAGAAACAGAGCTAGGCAATAATAGGAGCAAGTGATAGGGTGTGGCTGTAAATACAGGTGAAGCTTTGCTTGCTCGACTGCTGCTCACCTCTTGCTATGTGGCCTAGTTCCTAACAGGCCACAGACCAGTACAGGTTGACAGGTTTGGGAATAAGACCCCTGGTATATAACCTATAGATGAACAAGGGTACTATCTGTGTCCTATCACTAGCTTCATTCTGAACTCAGGTTCAGAAATATGACATAATAAGGTAGAAATTATATATGTTGGGACCAGCAGATAGCATAATGGTTACATTGCTGGACTCACACATAGTTGACCACAATTCGAGTCCCAGACCCAATGGCTTAAAACTCACACCAGATGTTGGGACCAGCAGTTAGCGTAATTGCTATGTCACTGGACTCCCACATAGTCGACAGCAGTTCGCGTCGCAGACGTGGTGGCCTGGCGTCTGCGTGCATGCCCAAGATCCCGAGAGGAGACTGGAGGAGAAGGGATTGCAGCGTGGCCATCCCCTCTGAGGGATGATTTCTCGCTTTCTGTCTCTCTGTCTGTCTGGCAAGCACACGCGCCATATAGCAAAAAACCTCTCCAAAAAAAAAAAACCTCACACCGGATGCATGTGCATATATGCCCAAAATCCCACAAGGAGAATTAAAGTTAAGGAATTGCGGCGTGGCCATCCCCCACCCTCCTCTGACCCCGGGGGGATGATTTCTCACTTTCTTTCTCTCTTTGCCTCTCTGGTGAGCGCATGTGCCCTATAGCAAAAATCTCTCTTTAAAAAAAAAAGAAAAGAAAAGAAAAGAAAGAAAGAGAAATTACGTATGACTATAACTCCTAATATCCCCAGAATATAATGGAATAAAGGATATAAATAATATGGAAACAGAGAGTTATGAAATCAAAGAAAATAAGCCCACAATAGACACCAAAAAGCACAAAAATGAATAACTATAGAATCTTAAAAAGATAATGAATGGGGCCAGCAGGTAGCATGGAGGTTAAGGTGCTGGATGCCACATGGCTGGTTGCATGGTTCACGTTCCAAACCCAGCAGCTTGAAAGTCACACTAAGCATGTGTGCACTCATGCTCAAAATCTCAAGAGGAGGATGGAGAAGGGGCTGCAGTGTGGTTATTCCCCCTGGAGGGTGATTTTTCACTTTCCCTCTCTCCAGCAAGTGCATGGACCACAAACTAAAAAATCATTTTTAAAAAGATAATCCATGAGTAATTGATAGGGAGAGAATAAAAATCTAAATCTTTGCATCATGTACAAAACAAATTGCAAATGATGAAATAAAAGCAATAAGAAACAGTAATAAAAAGTTAATGTAACAAATTAGTGGATTTCTGGTTGGAGAAGAATGTAAGCATAAAAATCAATGGAAAACATATGAACAGATTTACAATCACCAACATGAAAGAAACATACAAATGTCAAAACATTCAAAGAAAAAGAAAGGAAGCTTGAGGGGAACCTGACTTAAAAGTCACCAAGTAGTAGTTCTCTTTCAAACATCAACAGGCATTCAAAATAATTAGAATACCATAAGGTCCACTAGAAAAAATGGGCAAAATATGCATAAACTCAATTAAGAATAAGAAATAAAAATGGCAAATAAATATGTTAAGCCTTGGGAGCAAGCAAATTGAGAAGGAAAAAAAATTTAAGGGTTTATTTTAAATTTTTATTTATTATTATTCTTTTTCATTTTGACCAGAGAGAAAGGGAGAGTGAGAAAGGAAGCTGCCAGGTCTAGAACTCAAACTGGGGTTGGCTATTTGGGAGTCCAGCGCCTTAACAACTGTGGCACTTGACAGCCCTGAGGAGTATTATTAAAACACATGTGAATTATAAACTCATTAATCTGAAACCTTGAAACTATTGATGTAGTTTGAGAAACAATAAATTCTGTTCAAGAAACTTAGTCCACAGATAAAACAAAGGACAGGGCATAATATTAAAAGAAAATTGTTTTTAAAATCAAAAGACTAGAACTCCATTGGAGTATAAAATAGGAATTGAAAGAGAGAAATTATAGTTTTGTATTTCAAGAAATATGGTAGAGAGTCTCTCCAGAAATAGCTCAAAAAAAGACATATTTAATTATTGTTTTTCTTTTTTAAGATTTTTGCAACAGGGCACATGTGCTCGCTGGAGAGAGACAGTGAGAAAGAAATTAAGAAATCATCCCCCCCCTCCCCCGGGGTGATGGCAGTGCTACATCCTTCCTCTTCCATTCTCTGCCAGGGACTTTGGACACGCACGCACATGCACCCAGGATGGTTTTTTGTTTTTCTTTTTTTTTTTTTTTTTTCCTTTCTTTCTCTTTGTTTCTTTTTTTTTTTCCTGAGAGGTTTTTGCCTTAGGGCATGTGCACTTGCAGGGGGAAGAGAAACAGACAGACACAGTAAAAGGGAAAGTGAGATATCACCCCATGGGAGCAATGGCAATGCCACAATCCTTTCTCCTCCATTTTCGTCCAGGGAT